AATTAATTTTATTATTTGTAGAGTGAGTTTGTTGCGGCGTGCCGCTTCCTCTCAGCACTTGTCAAATGTTTGTATCAAATCGCTGATAGGACTAAAAAAATTATGAGAGGGCAGAAAAATTAAAAGCTTATCTGTACTAAAACAGCTGACGTTTATGTTTTTCATCAGATTCGAGACCAGCAACGGCATAGCCGTGGGCGGGCAAGGAGAACCCCGGAATTTCGGCGGCAACCCTCCAGTAGTCCCAGTGGTTAGCCAGGGCTACTACAGCTTCTACACTCCAGACGGTCAAGCTAACAGCATCTCATACATTGCCGATGAGAACGGTTACCAGGCATCGGTATGATTATTGTTTTTTTGTTATCTAAAGAAAATAATATAATTAACTTTTAAAAAAAATAAAACCGACTTCAAATGCGTGAACACAAAAAAAAACTAAAAATTAAAAATATTGCGTATAAAAAAGTTCATCCCCAATTTTCCACCCTTGGGGGTGAAATATTTTCTTCAAATTCGCATGAAACCACCCTTTTGATAATACCTATTCAACAAAAATAGGTATTATACGTATGACGTAGACGTACGAGATATTGCGTATAAAAAAGTTCATCCCCAATTTTCCACCCCTGGGGGTTGTTTTTTTTATTATTTAATTTAAATGGGACCACCCTTGAGGTATTACCTATACGCCGAAAAAAGATTTGTTCAAATCGGTTCATAATTGGCGGAGTTATCGCGTAACAAACATAGAAAAAAAAAAACATACGGGTCGAATTGAGAACCTCCTCCTTTTTTGAAGTCGGTTGAAAAGGGTGAAGATGAGAACACCTGATATTCTCCGTTATTGTAATATTTGCTAAATGAGATGCAGGTCATCATCTTAAAATAGGTGGTTATAAAAACCACTACTAAAGAAAGTTCCGTAATGGTAGTTCAAAATAGGAAATTGTAGTGAACACTGATATTGATTTACCATATAATTCAAATTTATTTATTTATTTATTTAAGGATAGTACACAGCACAATGTCAATTTATATTATAATTATCAATTTATAATTTACTCGCGGCCGCCCGCGACTTCGTACGCGTGAATCCCGTTATACCCCCTTCATCTATCTCACACGGTTTAGATATTTTCATACAAATGTTTTTTCCCGCTAACTCCCGTTCCCGTGGGAATTTTGAAATATCCTGTTGTAACTAAGCTTTAACTTTACTAAGGTACCTGCATGCCAAATTCCAAGCGTCTTACTTAAGCGGTTAAGATTTTTCATACAAAAGGATTTTCCCGCTAATTCCTGTTCCCGTGGGAATTCCTAAGTATACTATAACCTGCCCAGGAGTATGAAGAATAATTGTACCGAGTTTCGTTAAAATCCGTCAAGTAGTTTTTATTTCTATAAGGAACATACAGACGGACAGACAGACAGACAAAAATTTTACTGATTGCATTTTTGGCATCAGTATCGATCACTAATCACCCCCTGATAGTTATTTTGAAAATATATTTCATGTACAGAATTGAACTCTCTACAGATTTATTATAAGTAGGTATATAGCTGTTTAATAGAGTGGGCTTATAGAGAATTTTGTGAAATTAATTTTAATATCTGTTTACGTTCATCACCAGGGTTCGGGTATCCCCACGCCTCCCCCCACACCGCCAGCAATCTTGAAGGCCCTGGATTACCTCGCTAGAAGCGGCCAGCTGAAGAAATAAGACATAAGACACGTAACATAAATAGTCTTTAAGTTACTTAAATTCAGATAAAGAGTGATTAATTATAATAATTGTAACTAGTATTTTAATGCACAACTTCATTGAATAAAAGTATGACGGATGATAATGATGTATTTATTATTATTCCCAACCTCTATTTAGTATTGATACTAACCCCAAAAATATCGTTGAATTGAAATAGCGTTGAATGCAGGCCGCTACCAACCGGCCAGTCTAAAAATCATGAGAGGCATATTTTCAGCAGTGGACGTCCTGTGGCTGAAACACCAAATCAATTGACTTATTTTACAGCTTCAAAAATTATTTACAGTTATTTATAACGTAGTTTTTAGGGCTAGAATTGGGGGTTATTTTAAAGAAGTTGAGTACAAGAATTATTGGTGTCTTACCATAAGGTTGTCATAAATAACTACTTACCCAATTTATTTACCACAACATTAAAATTAATAAAATTTATGGGTAGGTATTCATATAATTTAGGATAAATAAAATGATACATAGGTTTAAAAAGCAAAACTGTTTGTATGGAAATATGAGTTATCTCTAAAACAAAACGACAATAAATTGCAAATGTAGACCTAATATTATTTTAGTTCAAAATTTTCAATTTGTTAATATTATTTATATCGCAATAGATACGTAATGGTACACATTTCATGTACTAGTTGTAGATATAGTAAGTACACTCGCGATCAAAAGTATGGAATCACTTACATGCTTGCTTGTCGGCGACCTGCCGTCAGTTTCGAGCCTGTGGCAGGCCTTTTTGGAGTCAAATTCTATTGCTTATATCTTAGACGAACTGTCCACTCGCTAACAGCTATCCTACGAACATTTCTGAGCTCTTGCTGGACGTCGATACCAGTCAAATGACGATTTCATAGAAAGGTTGACATGAAAAACCGGTCATCCCTCTGCGATGTGCACCGGCGCTGTTCAGAACTTGGTCTCGGGATAAAGCCACAAGTCTCCCGAAAGCGTCTTACAACTTTCGAAACCCAGGACTGGCTTATGTGGAGCTGACGTGCGACAGCTGGCTGAGCCCTTCTTGCGATAGAGCAACGATTTCTGCTGCTTCTGTAGGTGTAGAATCCCAGTTGAAGATGTGTATGGATCAACGTGTGAAAGCAAAAATCCGAAAACACGTGCTTTTATAGGGGGTAAATAAGCCGCAACTCGCGACGTATCAAACAGTTGATACATGTCTTTTTCCTTACTTCTTCACATCAGCCGGGATATCTTTTTAAATACCGGTGTGATTTAAATGAATTTGGTATCAATTTAAAGTTAAAAGTGTGTGCATCTTTAAAATGGTGCCACTTTTTTTGTTACTAACAAATTCGTTAGTTCACAACATCGCGTGGAAACAACTTCATGTAAGTGATTCCATACTTTTGCTCGCGAGGTATATTATTAATGTACGAGTATGACATTTAGGCTGACTTGCACCACCTAACTTTGACCGTAACTTTAACGTTAACCGGTGTTTTTTTATGGAGATTGACAGCTTTTTGACGTTTGTCAAAGTTAAAGTAAGATGGTGCAACTCAGCCGTAAAATGGCAAAACTTGAATACCAGAAAAAAGATTGACGGCTACGTGAAGCAATTGTAAAAATCATAGACGTTACATACCTATTACATTATCTTTGGTAGATGTGTTGAGTGTCTATGTTTTTATGAAGAATTCAATTCGAACATTTTGCGAAGCACTGACTGTGGAGTGGGTGTCTTTTGGCTGAAAAATATTCGCAGACAGATTCTAGAAATTTGTAGATAATGTTTATTTTTAGAGGCCATAATTTATATAAAATGTGATATTTTACGAGCTATCAGCGGCTTGATAAGTTTAAATAGATTAGTGAAGATATTTTGATAGAAGAAAGTTAATAATGCATTTCCGAACACGATCTAGCTAAGAAATAATAAGTATTCTTTTTAAGGCGATTACATGGCCGAACGACCTTGAGCATTAGAGCGAGACAACGCGCCTCTCGCCGCGCGCCCGCGCTTCTGCCCGATACCAAAGTGCGCTCAGAATACAGATGCGAAGCGCTGCCAATTCTAACATAACTGCCTACGGGAATGCTAACTCGATTATAATTTACGCAGATCGAAAAAAATTGCGATGCTTATTTTGTGTTTCAAAACAGAATTTAAAAAAGAAAATAAATCATTATACAGAATAATAATAATTATCGTCAGCATATTTTCAAACTGAAATAAATGATTAT